TCAGGGTATGCTTTCAGGGGACAGAGAAGGGACGTTGCTTCTGATGGCTCAACTGAACGCTCAGGTCTGGCTTTCTTTCCCCTCTAGACATGGTGGGAACTTACACAAGCCCTAACGTGATGTGTCCCGAACACAGTCCAGTGGCACCACTCACCCTCTAGCAATTCCTCTTTGGGAGAAACGAAGCCCCAACTGCAGGCCTACTTGTGTCTTCATTTAGCCATCTCTGAGTGAAATCCCTAGGCCTTAGGGATTTTCTCTGCTCAGGTGGTTCAGGAAATCATCCACACCTCAGGCTCTAAGGAGTTGGAAAGGACACTATATAGTCCAGTACTTCTTTTCCCAAAGCGTGTTCTGCTGATAATTGTTTTCTGCCAGAAAGCTTCCGCTGCACCTGAAACTGTTTGGAATATGCTGGGCTAAACCATACAAACTGAGTTTCTTTTGCTGCAGGTCCTTCACTCTGCTGGCACTATCTTGATGCTCCAAAAGGATGAGAGGGAAGCAGTTTCCAGACTCATTTAAACACACGTCACTTTTTAGATAAAATAAATTCTTCCAAATTCCCCAGAATGTGACTTACATCTACCTTCCTCTTTCCTCTCGGTGTCCTTTCTTGGCACCCCATCTCTGATTACCATTTCCTACTTAATCCCCATTCCATTTGCAAACATGTTTCCCTTCCCTGCTTATAAAACATACTTGAGGAGTTGTTCATTCATCAATTCCCACCTTTTCAAGTAATATGGACATTTTTCCTCTATACCTCTAAGTCCATATTCCTACTTTGGCTTTGAAAAAACTTTTTTAAATTTACGGTAGTAATCGGGAGTCCATGAATGAGACTTAAAAGGGTTTCGAAGCCTCTGAAATCATAGGCAAATCACATACAAAATGTCCCTGTGTCCTGGAAGATAGCCACTACAATTTTCTCAAAGGGGTCCATTATTCCTCAAAAGTACTATGATTTTAGTGCTAAGGCACAATAGAATGGAAAGGAGAAATGTAGAAAATAAAGCACTTGAACTTTATAGTAAAACAATACAGGCTGACAGATTGTAAATGTGGGGCGTTGTTCAAAGTAAGGGAAGATCTTAAAAGAAAAAACACAGGGGCCAGGTAGGCTCATACCTGAAATCCCAGCTACTAGGGAGGTGGAGGACTGTGCTCCAAGGCCATCCTGGGGAAAAAGTTAGAAAAACCATATCGCAACCAATAAAAAAGCTGGGCACAGTGATACACACCTGTCATTCCAGCTACACTGGAAGCATAAGCAGGAGAATCATAGTCCAGGCCATCCTGGGCAAAAACACAATACCTACCTCAAAAACTGTCAAAGCAAAAAGGGATCTGGGCATGGCTCAAGAGGTAGAGTGACTGCTTAGCAAGAGCAAGACCCTGAGTTCAAAACCCAGTACTGCCCCTCTCTTCTCTCCCCTGCCACCAATCAAATGGGGGTGGGGCTAAGAGTAGTAGGTTTTAAAAAAAAATGACAGGAGGGGGAAACAGGGAGTCAGATCAGTCTGAAGTATTCTGTACTTGGCCAATTAATGAAAAATCAATTTCCAGCAGAATTATGGCATTCATTACTAGCAGGATTAAAATGGCGAGAACCCTGGGTTCAATCCCCAGCACGTCAGGAAAAAAGAAAAAAAAAAAAAAAAACCCAGGCATAGTGGCGCACATATATAATCCCAACACTTGAAGGTGAGGCAGGTGGTCAGCCTGGGGCTACAGAGGAAGTTCAACGAGGTCCTCTCTCAAATAAATAAATTAATTAACTAACTAAAAAATGCAGTGACATTCTACCACCTGCCACCTCCACATCCATAATCCATACGAAAGACAGAGGTCACTGATTTCGTAATGTGTGCCCAAAGCTCCCTCATGTAATTCCTAACACAGAGCAGGTCTTATCCAAAAGTCCTAGAAATGAGAGACTACGAAAGCAGTCTATAAAGCTTTTGCTACCTTTGATTGTTTCTTTTCTACAACAAACACTACCGTTAGGATTCTATTAACAAATTGCCTTGCCTCAGAAAGATATACTTCTATAAGATAAGGAGAACGTGAAATAATGAAAGTTACAGAAACTTATTTAAATGGTCATCTCACTGAAAGTGAGGGGTTTGATACCTACTTGCTTAAGTTTTTAAAAAATAAAAACTTGTATTGCATTTCAAACAAAACATTTGAGTATTGGGAAATTAATGCAATAAGCACTGAAGTTTTTCTGTATTAGCTAAATTTAGCTTTAAGTTCAAGAGTGGAGAGGTAACAACTACAATAAAATATACTTTCTCACTCTCCCTCCTTTAGAAATAGCTCCAGTTTTCCTGAGAACAATTTGCGTTCCACATCACTACCTTACAACACTATTAAGCTCGCACATCTCATAAAAACAAAAGAAATAGATGGAAGGCTTTGGCCTCACCAACTGGTGACTTGACAAGGGTTTGCAAAACCCAGCTGCTTGGGAGAAGGGGGAGAGGGAAGGGTAGAAGTCTCCACTCAAGGAAAAAGAAAAAAAAATCTCTCCTTGAGTACAACATTAAAATACCAGAACAGTGAGCTTTTAGTTCTTGCTAGTGTTATTTGGAGACTTGCCATGGAAATACCTTGGATTATAAGCATCTGTACCCAAATCACACATTCTCCCTAATACAGAGTCCACCAACACACATGTGCTGAAAAGGTTTTCTAAGGGCATAAAGAAAGACCACCTGACAAAATTTACTCAGGTACGGCCTATTCTTATCTCACCGCACAGGGGCCGCAACAGTCGTGTGCAGAAAGAGCTGGAGCCCTGCCAGGTTCAATAAGCCTGATTTGGGGACAAGAGGGCATGCCCTAGACCTTCACTGATTCAGTCACTGAGATAAGCCAGACCCACAGGCCCAAGGGGCACCCAGGGCATGGAGGACCTAAAGCCACCACCAACAACAACCTAAGCCCCAAAGATCGGGGGTGGGGGGGGCACCTTGGATGATTCAGTCCACACCTTTATCTTGTTAAGAAACTGGTACTCTGGTAACTTGACAGCTTTGTGGTCTTCTTTTGGTTTCTAAGCCTGGCTATTCTACGTCTTTCCTGAGCAGTGCAAGGTGGAGAATAGTGATCCTCCTTTTCTCCTCTCTGAACATGCTCAAACTTCACCTCATTTTCAGTTTTTTGTAAACAAACTTAAAACTCTCAAGCTGCCCTTTCACACCCCCCCTCCAAAAAAAACTAATTTTTCAATAGTTTTTTGGGGAGGAAAAAACAAGGGGAGGGTGAGAGAATATCAGCATACAGCTTCCTGTCATCTCCCCTTGCAACTCCAATAGTTTGAAGAAAAGTCAAAATCAACACAAACACAGTCAAAAGATGCCCAAAAGAAATGCAGTGCAAAGAAAAAAACTATTTGCTTTTCTATCTTGCGCCAACTATTTAACTTTCCTTAAGCCCAGTTAACCTTCTGACACAACCTCTTCTCACCCTTTCCAGCACATCTATTTAAAAAACAGTAAGATCTAAAATATCTGCACACCCTATTTCACAATCAACATCTTTTGATAAACTAGGAAATAAAAGAACATCTTGTTACTATAATGTGTAATCCTCCCTTCTAAGAAAAAAACACTTGTACCAAATCCAGCTAACATGATCCATTAAAAGCAAGCTAGTTCTCAGAGGCTAATGTGGACTGGATCTGGAGAATTTGAACTTTAAAATGAACCCTCAACAATAACATTTTCAATATCTAGATGTCCAAATTGCCCACTAAATTATACATTCCCAAGCATGCATCCATTTCTTTGTGGATGCACTGGAAAAATACCCTCTCTACACTCTAATGGTATCTAGAGTGAGATTAAGGACTAGAGAGCCATGAAGGTACAAAGAATCCTCTGGCCTCTCAAACACTACACCAATCCTACTTAGTGCTCTCCCAACAAATGACTTCTCAGAGACTCTAAAACCACAACAAAATGTGCAACCATGGCCCCAGCTGTGGCAGGCAAGTGCCAGAAGCAAATTTCGTGACACTGTCTTTTAGTATGCATACAGCCGCTTAGACAGGTGTGAGGAAAGACAACACAATTATCTAAGGAACACACAGCCTCTTCCCACATAGATGCATCCAAGTACCACTGCACTTCTATTCCTGGAAAACACTGTTCTGCAGAACCCCTTCTTAAAAACTGTTTCATGTGAACTTAGTCACATTCTTACTACTAACAAGAACTGTAAGTTTCTGAGTTTCTACTGTTCAATCATGGAACCAGCAGGAAGGCAGATGAGATAGGAATTGTCACGTAAAGGTGAATATGGGAATAACTGAAGAAACATCAGTGCAGAGGGCTAGGTGACACTCTTGTAAAAACTGGCCAAAATGAACTCTTTGTTTTGGGTTTTTTGTTTTGCTCTGTTTTTGCTGTACTTGCACTTGGCAAATGCTCTACCACTTGGGTCTCGACCCTACACCCTATTTGTTTTTAAGTTACACCAAGAAATTCCCACATAGACATTTCAGCAAAGTTGATTTATATTTAAAATACATTTAAATCAACTTTATATGGTATAATTTACATAACCAGAAAACGCACCCAGTGTAAGCATATAGTTAGGCAAAACTAGCAAATGTGCATACAGCAAAGTAAGAACCATAATAAGTACGAGGAGCATTTCCACTGCTCCCTCAGACAGTTCCCTTATGTTCTTCTTGCAGCCAACTTCTTCCCCTGCCCTTACCGCCCCGAAAATCGATCTGCTTTATATCACCATACATAGGTTTCGTCTTTCCTAGAATTTCACAGGAATAGAATCAAATGGTAAGCACTCTACTGTGTCACTTTTCTCTCTGCATGGTTTTGTAATTCATCACGTTACATTATCAGTGGCTTGTTCCCTTTTATTGCTGAGTAATATTCCCTTTGTGTTGATATACCATAATTTTCAAAACTTTTTTAATAAAGAGAGAGCTGTGCTTTAAACCATATATATAAATCTTTCTAAGGATAACTTTACTTTTTTTTTTTTTTCTTTCAAGGTAACTGGAACTCATAAGTAATTCTGTATAAACACAGATCCCAAAACCTGAGCTTCAGGAACACAAAACTTTGTCTTGTTCCCCTCCCTATACAATAACTTATTCAATGAGATGGAAGGAAAAACGATAACCTGAGATTTTTGTTTGCTGCCATTTGAAGGTGCTATTTCAAGCTGCTGAAGAACTATGAGGAAACTATCCAAGCAAATTTTCATGTGCTGCTTCCTGAATGCCTGACCAAAAAGTGAACTTTTGGATTAGTTTAATTTGGGTTCTGATTCTTCCACTTTTTCCTGACTGTTTAGGATTTTTTTGGATTTTATGCTGATGCTTGAGTTACCCTACTACCAGAAGGATGTGATAGGATTTCCCTTGAGAAAGAATTGCCCTAGGAAGTCCTGTTTGAAAAGAAAATAACTATGTAAAGTTTGTTTAAGCGAACTGCCATACCATGCAAGACTGCTAGCATTTCAAGTACATACCCCACGTGACACTTAGTTTCAGGATGGTTGCTGGTGTTTAAGAGGCATGGCTAGCTATCCTCGTTGGAGATGACCACCCTTAAAGGCACAAATATAAAAATAAAGTTTCCAAACATGAGTCCTAACCACACCAAGGTTATGAAATAAGACAATTTAATACCCCCCAGGTACAAAAGGAAGACTTTCACCCTCAGCCCCGACATCCTAACCACACCCCAAACAGATTTTTGTAATGGTTACAAGGGCAAGCTGAAAGAAAGACCTAAAGTGAGACTTATTTCCTGACCACTGTGCATCACAACTCACAAGCTAGCTTGGTACTCTGCGTCTGCCATCAAGTCCTGGCCTGTTTCTTCTTCTCTCAAGTGAGGAGGCTGAGTAAGAATGAGCTCTAAGGTTCCCTTCAGTCTGAAAGCTATAACCCAAGCTCATAAATGAACCATACTTCCAATACTAAAATGAGAAAAGTTGCCTATTTTTAAACCATAACAGAATTTATGAGCAAGGAATCTAAAATTGACAGAAATATTAGTTTTGATGCTCCGTTCATAATTCTTAGCCATCATACTCACTAAATAAAGTTCTTTTCTGGACACTTCTTTCAAGTTTGAACATCAGCTCTCAAAAAAAATTAAATCCTCCTAATGAATTCCAGCCTGCACATTTAACTTTATATAGCTATGTGTTTTTGTGTGACTATTAATGTTTTAAGGTTTTATCACCACCCAGAACATGAAACCCTTCTAATGTCAATAGCGTAATAGAGGATGGAAGAGTCCCTTGAAAAATGTACCACCTGCTTCTGCAACAATTCTTCCTGGCAACATGCTTTTGTTCTAGTTATTCAAGAAACTGCAAAGGATCACTCTTAAGTTTGACTAGCACTCAGCAGGAAATCATTTTTTTTACACACTTGAAATCCCAAGACTCTACCTTAGAATTTGGAGAAGGCAACAAAAGCCCCTTAAATTCTCAGGCATCTGAGAAAAGCACTGCTTTTCAGATATTAGCCACAGAAACTCTCTCTGAGCAGTCGGCCTAACTGCACCCCAGCCAGACTCTACCCCCCCCCTCCTTCACATCCCCCCCTCAAGTTTAATGGCAGCTACAGCTGAAGTTCCAGTCCGGGCTGGACTGCAGCAGCACCTGCAAGCCTGCACTGGAATCCTGGAACAGGGCACCCATCAGAATAAGCCTGCACTCCAAGAGCGAAAGCCTGCCTCAGGGATACAGTGCTTTCCAAGACAGGCAGAAAGGAGGGCTGAGAGCTCTGGCAGCAGTGTTTGTGCAAGCACACGGTCCTTCTTAGTACTGAATGTCCCCAGCACTTGGAGAGGAAGTAAACAAGGATCCGGGTCGTGCCTGTGTCTGTGCAGTCCAGGACAGCCAAGACCTGGCCTGGACAAGACTCCCAGCACCCAGGCAAGGCATGCTGACGTCACAGAGCTCCAAACTGTGGGCTGTGTGACCAGGAAAAATTACAAAGGTCAGTTTAAATACAGCCTATATTTCACTCTACCACTTAGTTGTTTTTTGTTTTTCCCAAAACAGTAATTTTCTGAAGTAAAGCTGGATCATGGAAAACACCTACTTGTGGAACAGACCAGAGTATCTAGGCCCTATGAAGCCATCCATGTTTTCTCCTCCAAACAGATTTGGGACAAACTACTCCCACCCTAATTGGACCCAAGCAAGTCTGGCTATTTTGTCTTTTTTTTTTTAACTTATTCATTATAATTTAGGGGATTTGTTGGCCTCAGGCTGGTAATCATAGGTCTACATGTCAAATACACACACAAGCACACAAGGATGAACAATGTATCATATAAAAAAGATAAATAATATGTGGTCTCCCATATTCAAGGGAAACAATGCCTAATTCTCATGGGAATACAATGCAGTGTGGGTACGGACACAGGCATGAATCACTGACCCACAAGGGAGAACTAACAAAGGATGGTAGAAGAGTTCTGTGTCCTACAGACATGGCAGAAAGGACATTTGGAGGCTTCACGGACTTGGTAGCACGAAGGCCAGTGAATTTCACTATGTGCAGAAGGGGCCTCAAGGCTAGAGGAAACATGGGCCAAGACACTTAGCCACAAACGTATCCAACAGTGGAGCATTTTGGGTAAAGTGAGGTAATCTAGGAGAAGACTATATAAAACAGGGAAAGGAAAGTTTATCCAAGAGGCCAAAAAGCCTTCTCCATGCAGAGGTTCCACATGCTCTTTGAAGAGGTTAAGTAGCTGAGGACCACTCTGCAGGTCACCCCGCCCCTATGGCTCTTGGAATCAAACCCATGGGCAAGAACTTTCCTTAAGGAAACTGTCTCTGCCCCCAAAAGTAAAATATCATAAGCGAACAAAACTCAAAACTAAGAGACAATCAAAGTAAGTAAGCTTTAACCCCTGGTACTTTACCAGTACCCCAAAGTCCTGCTACCGAGACAGGGTTGGCTCATTCCTTACACAACTTATTACATCATGCTAATACATTTCCCCTCAAAATGAACAATGACATGAAATATAAACTCGCCCCAAATAAAAGCCAACATCAACTTGAGGATCCCCCTATAGTATCACCACACTTACCTACCATATCTTAACCCTTTTCTCACCCATTTATAAACTATCTGCACCCTGCATTGCTCTAGAGGCGTTACATTGCTGCATTAGTCTTGTAACACAGCAAATTTAAGTATTTTCATATGCTACTGTGGATGAATAATTATAATAAAAAGGCCTATAATCAAACTCTTTTCCCCCTGATTCTCAGACTATTATAATTTTCCCCTCAGCTCATAGACTAATGAAACAAATGGAAACAAAAAAAATAAAGTTATATAAAAATAAATTTAAAATCAAGCAAAAACAAAACAAAACAAAAATTAGAATAAAGAATCTCTGTCTTCATACTAACAGTCTAAATTCTGCCAAAGACAAAATACTTACTTGGCTTATCAAACCTATAGACTTTTTATAAAGTACCCAAGAAGTCAGCACTTGAGAGGCTGAGGCAAGAGGATCCAGAGTCCAAAGCCAGCCTGGGCTACACAGTGAAACCCTGTCTCACACACACACATACACACACACAAAAAAACCACACAAGAAATTAATAGCTCATAAAAATAGGGGGAAAATTCTAGGTTGCAACATAAAACTAACATCAACTAAGAGTTCTTCCAAAATGCCATGTCCACAGGAGGGATGTTTGGCAAAACTGTCTGCATGGGCTGCCTTGAAGGCCATACCAACTGCCCTTAGATCTGCTTAAGAGGCACAGGGATATTGGCAGACGCCTGCTCAAGGTAGGCCAGGGAGCCCTGAGGGATGTCAGCTGGCTTCTTGTGCTGCACATTAATATCTCCGGCACCTGTTGCCAGTGCCTTAGCTTTGCAGGTGCTCTGGACCAGAGCATCTTTACATTGCAATTCATTCCTTAGTTCTGAGACTAAGGAATGAGGTAACTTGCTCTGATTTCTGGACAGACAACTGCAATCTTTTTTGTAGGAAAAAACATTCTGTCTGTCTTGCAATGTCCAGAAACTTCTGGATACACTGATCAACACCAGTTTGAATTTCTTCCTGATCAGTGCCATTGACATAGTCCTGACTCACAACAGAAGCAAAGCCAAGCCTCAAATGACAACTCCAATTCATCCACCAAGATATGCTTGAAGAAGCAAAGCCCGGCCAGGTAGTCCCTGCAGAGGTGGGGGCGAGGGGTAGGTGGTTGTGCTGAGAACATTCCACCCAGCAGAGCCAACATGTCTGCAATCCTGCCTATTTTGTCTTAAGAACACTCTAAAGAACATCACTTTGTAAATACTCTACTGTAAAACCCGCAGCAGCATGTTTATCTAAAAAAGGAACTCAGATAATGTCCTTACTTTCCATCAAAACCCAAAAGTTCCTTCAAGCTTTTCCACATTCACACAGGAACAAAAAAAATGGGGGTTTTTTGTTGTTGTTGTTTTGTTTTTTTCTTTTGAGGATTGTTTGGTCTTTGTTTTATTTAGCAGTGCTAAAGCTCCAGCATCTCACTAAGGCTTTAAGTGAGAAAGTAAGGCCTAGTTAAGCCACATTCCCTGTTTCTCCAGCTACTGTAACTATTACTAAAGTTCTGGGAAGCCTGTCCTGTTGTTTTCCAGCCAGTAGGGCATGGTGGCTTGACTCACAAAGATGGTCTCAGTGTGTCTTGATATTTTCTCTCCCTAGACTCTGCCTTTTGAGGAGTGGAGGAGGTTGGGAGAGAGAAAGAGACTGGGGAATAAAAAGTAGAAGCAGAACTGATCAGAAGGGGAAAGGGAGAATGCATGGACTGTGTCTATGCATACATATTTCAATTTGTATAATAAATGCATTCTCGCAAAGCTGACCGTAACTGAATTTCTGAAATAGTAATAAAACAATCCCTCAATTAAAAATTATAAAATCTAACAGCTCATTAAATAAATGTAATTATACAACCTCAATTTATCCTTTTGCAAATCTTAATTTTTCATATAGTTTAGCTTTAAAAAAAAAAACAAAACTACTACATCCATTCAATGATCCATGCGAATGAAGCAGCAAGCTAGCAGAAAGATTAGGCCTGAAGGCAGAAAAAAGTTAGATTTTAATAGTTCAAGAGAACTTACTTAAAAAAACAATTCACACACAAGCATTACAACTAGTATTCAGATTGTCACAGCACTTACAGCTTTTAACTCTGTTAAGGTAACTTTAAAATTATTGGGAGTGGGGAATAAAAGAGAATGATGGAAAGAATGAATTTGGCTAAGATATATTGTAAGCACTTTTGTAAATGTCACAATGCTCCCCCAGTATAACAATAATATGATAATAAAACATTTTTTTAATTATCTTCCTTTTTAGATTTTACTCGTATGAGGCAGGTCCTTTGGCTTACTGCAAAGAGCAGACATTAGTAAGGATAGCTACACCAAGAAAAAGCTAGAGAAGGGAGAAGTGAGGTGGAGCCCTTCTAAGTGAATCCTAGTTAATGTTTTAAGTTTGGAAACACTGGTCTGAGTCATCTTGAAGTGCAAAGATCCTTAAGTTTTCTACAAAAAT